CACTCTCTTGCCTAATCTTTTAGGGTTTGCACAAATAACCTCATCCGGACAGCTTCCTCACTCACACCTTCATAATTGAAATTGCTTACAATTTCCATGAATCGTACAATGTGAGCATGTGGGCTTTCATCTATTCTCCCATAAAATGATATGGTGTTGGAGAATAGATTAATAACATTCGGCCTAAGCTGGAAATTTGGATGTCCATAGGATGGATAGATGATTCCCGATTGATTTTCCACCATGGGGCGGTTCAAGAAATCCTTAAACAACATGTCTTCCTCATTTACTACGGAATTTTGAATCCTTCCCGCTTGATTATCGAAACCAGGCAGAATACCATCCCTAGGAGAATGTTCGGGTTAAATGAGCAAGGTCAACATGAACTCCTTGTCGATCCATCTCACGTTGTTGTCTTCTCAACTCGTTTTGTTCCCTTAACCTCTTTCGAAAAGTCTCTTCGATTTCTAGATCAAATTCGAAAAGATCGAGACTTCGCGAACGATTCATATACAATCGACGAGTTTAGGAAATTGACAATCACGAAGACAACCTTACAATTGGACTAAATGAATAAAGTAAAAGAAACAAATAAAGTAGTTAAAGTGAATGACAATAAGACTAGTAATTAGATCAAAACACTCCCGGCAACGGCGCCAAAAACTTGTCCTCTAAAAATATGCCGCAAGCGCACGGGTCGCGATCAAGTAGTAAAATGGACCTTTTAAGTCTGAATCGATCCCACGAAGAGTGTTATCTTAATTACAAGAGTATTGATTCGAATTAACGAAATTGACAAACACATTGAAAAACTTGATTTTAAAATTAAAAAGACACGATTTAGATTTAAAGATTGCAATGATAATTAAAAAGTGGTAAGATTTAGATTTAAACGAGGTTGGAATTTATGATTTCGTTTAACCTTTATTTCATTAATATCAATCCAATAATGCGTCGATACAAATTACCAAAATACAAAGTTAGACCCGATTTTTCAATTTTAGTCAATAACTTCTCTTGAGTGATATTAACCCTAATTGATTAAGTTATATAGCATATCTCTATATTGATAAAAACTTAACCAATTGCATTAAATTTTTGTGAAAATAACTCAAAGGGTTACCTAGGGTAGGTGTATATATATCTATATGCACCTAAACGCGCATAGTATACTATACAAACCTAGGGTATTAATTATTTTAGTCTAGTTAGTGCAACAATTTCTC